TTTTGCATCTTTATATTTCTTCTCATAGAAAGTAAGTCACAAACTTACCTGTGTATCCGTACTTTAGTATATATTTTCTAAAAACATTCTCTACCTAACCATAGTACCATGATCACAGTCAGGAAATTTTTAAGTACTACAGTATCATCTGATACATAGCTTATATTCATATTTCCTCCAATTGTTAATAATATCCTTTTTGTCTTGTTTTGTTTTGTTTTTAACTTATGATCCAGTCAAGTTTCATTACATTTTCTTTAAGGATAGGCACCCTTCTTTTGCATTCTTTTTACTCTCTGGTTATGTCCCACTGTGTTCAGACCTGATTTTGTTCTTTATGATTATATTATTTTCCACATTTGACAAGCAAACTAACACAGAAATTTGGACTTGTGCCTGGAGAAGACAAAGCAGAACCTCATCTTGGGGTCACCAGACCTGAGATGTACAAATGATCTGTGCTGCTGTCTGCCTGCCTCTCTTCCCCATTAGACTTCCTAGAATTCTTTGAGATCAGAGCCTGCCTCTTCCCCATCCTCATTTACTTACTAATACATCAGCAAATCATGCTGATGAAAGCAGCGGTAAAGAAATAAATAAACCTTACACAAATGACTTACCCCTGATCCTCCATTTCGTTATCCTTAAAATAGGAATAACCTAATAAATGAGAGCACCCAATGTGGAGCTTAATAATAATATAATAAACTAAAAGGAAATGTAACCTTTGTTTTATTAGAGGTATATGATATCAGTTATCAACTATTGATGGAGAGTCATCTTAGCCATTTGAATTAGATGATATTTGCAGTATTTTTCCATTGTATTTTTCTTACCGGAGATCGAACTCACAACCACACACTTGCAAGGCAAGTGCTTATACCACTGAGCTAAATCCCCAGCCCCTGAATAAGCAAAAGTATCTTTTTGACTTGTAATTTAGGGTAAATGAGAGGGGTGACAGCTTTGAAACTCCAACTACCTTTCTTCCAGTGCTTCGTCATTCAAGATCCCTGCCTGAATCAGCTGAGGGCTGCAAAATGATGATTATTCAATTCTGCCCTTACATTTACATTTACTAGCTTACTGTTTCTATAAAGAAGGCCTTTTTTCCTCTTCACTTTCTTTTAGTGCTGTAGACATACAAAACATCTTTTTATTAGGTGTTCTATGGTCCATTACTCTTTATTTTTTTGATATTCAAATGTTTCCAAAATTGCCCTAATGGAAGACTCTTCACATCACATTCTGTATCATTTTGACATATGTCCAGTAGGTGGTTACCATTCAGAGTGATTCAACTTAATAAGTTCTTGACTTTACCATGGTACCAAAGCATTCAGTAGAAATTACACTTAGGATTCTTGAATTTTGGTCTTTTCCTTGGCTACTCTCAAGATGCTGTGGTAGCAAACTATACCTCCTGGTCAACCATAGAAACAGGGAGCAACCAGTACTCTGTAGTACTACACTGCATTGCTGTAGGCTCAGGATATTCGGTGCATTTTCAGTATGAGTATCTGAGATGCATCTCTGGTATTTTACCTTAAAATAACACTTGTCTAATCGTGAAAATAAAAATCTTGAAATACAGAGTTAAAAATGATTCTTCTACATTCCTCCATTTCTACTATAACCCTGCCTAGCAACCATCCTCCAAATTGTTAACAATTTGCTTCAGACCTTTCATTTGTTATCTTTGGTGGTCCTAATACAGATAGTAGTAGATGTGTGCCAAAAAATACAATTAATGTTTTAAAACTGTAACTTATTGCAGTAAAAGACATGTTGCTATTAATCACCTATAAAATACTCCTCACTTTAAACAGACTTGTTCCTCATTCTTTCTACTTTCTGAAGCAGTTCTGAAAGTCTTTTGTGTCTTTAGTTGCACTATGGTGGCTTCCTCAGTGCCCTGAATTGATTCAAAATATTTACCTTTCATGGCTTAGGGAAAGAGCCAGGATGTGCACAGTGCAAGCTCTGGTGAATAATGTAGATGGAGACATACTGTCATGTTTTTACAAGCCTACCCTTCCATTGGATGGTACTCGGTAACAGCATTTACCACCAAAAAAAAAAAGGTGTTTTCAGGATTCAGACTGGCCTTAAACTCACTATGTAGGCCAAGGTGGCCTTGAACTCACGACAGTCTTCCTGCCTTAGCCATGTGAGTGCAAGGATTACAGGTGTGTTCACCACACCCAGCTAGCATTCACCAACCTTTTTATCCTGCCTCCTAAATGGATGAAAAAGATTTTCCAGAGCTGCTTCACAAAGTGACAAGAATGAAGGCTAAGTGGGTCTGAAATAAGGGAATATAATTCAGAGGGATGGCTTGAACCACTAGAGTACATACATGAGTATACCTTCAGGCAGCCTAGAACAGTCACATGGAGTGGTACAAGCCACCTGATGGGCAGTCATACATACATGTATGACCCCATTGCAAATGTGTTCATGACAAAGTGTTTTACTATAATAGGTTTATTTACTGTATGTTTTTATAACTTAGTCTTTTTCACCTTATGTAGTTTCTTAAAATGTTCTTACGTATTGTTACAGCATTCTTTTTGGTAATTGAATGATACTTTATGTTAGTTACTTTTTTCCTTGCTGAAACAAAATTTGGGCCTCACAGGGAGCATGGTAGACAGGCATCTGGAGGAAAAACAGTTCATAGTAGGCAGAAGGGGGGCTGGAGATTTAGCTCAGCGGCATAAGCTCCTGCCTTGCAAGCAGGCAGTCGTGAGTTCGATCCCCGGTACCGATAAAAAGGAAAAAGACAAAAAAAAAAAAAAATAATAATAATAGGCAGAAGGTAGCAAAGCAACAAAATAGGAAAGAAGCAAGCCCAACTGATTTTACCAGCTTCTTTGTGTCTCTTTTGCATTCAATCTACGCTACTGGATTTAGGATGGGTGCCAAACCAGTCAGTGGACTGATTGATTTATTAATCCCACATTCTTAATCCTAGCATCACACATCTAGATCCAGCCACCCCTGAAAAGGCCCCACCTAAGCCACACAAGGCTTTGGCAGGCTCATTTAGACGCAAGTCATAACATAGTTCTTGGTAAGGATTTACCATATCTTTACATTGTTTCCCCTACAAACATTTAGATTATTTCAAATTTTTGAATATAATGGACAACTGCAAGCTAATATCCTGTTTTAGACCATGTCTTCGCATTTGGGCAAATATTTGTATAGAATAGATTCTAAGAGGTGGAATGGTTGAATAGCTATCATTTATTTACACTTGTGCACTATTTTCCTTACTGAGTATTGACATTGTTTTAAAAAAAAATAAACTTCATTTAAAGGAGTTTCGAAAAAGAGTAGAGGTTAATTACTGTTTCCTTCATTTTACTCTCCTATCTTTCTAGTCCCTCTCTTCCGTTCCTTTCCTCTATCTTTGTCTCTCTCTAGGGGAGTTTTATTTACAAGTGTACCTGAGTGTCTGAAGTTTGGCTGCCCCAACTCTGTGATTAAATATAGTTGGGTATATGTTTTGTAGACTCTTGCTGTATGCTACCCTCCCTCCAAAATCACATTGAATAAAGTTAAAAACAAACAGGACTGGGGCATAAGCACCTGTCTGACAAGCACAAGGTCATGAGTTTGATTCTTGGTGCTAGAAAAAAAAGACTTGTATCTTGTTTATCTGGCGTCCGCCTTCCAGAAAATCAACAAACAAAAAAACTATCCTTGTTTTCCAAACTTGCCCCCCAAAGTCTGACTGTCCAAAACTGGGGACCCAGATACAGAAAGACACTTAAAGTTTCATGCCAGTGTTTTTATTTAGAAACACTAGAATTTTTAGATAACATAAGATGTATTTTTGTACACTACCAGTTTTGTCAACATGCTTTCAGTGTTTCCTTTGTCATTAATTTTAAGTTGTGATAACCATGTACATCAAGTTTTTATATATACAAGCACCTGTTTATGATGTTCTTAGAACAGTGCACATTGTTTGAATATTTTGATACCTAGTTGGGAAACTTGTTCTTTGTAAACTGTTTCTTTCTATTGTAAATGTTCCTCTCGTGTACATAGGACAGAGGGACAACTCATCCATTTATGATTTGTGCTTCCTCTAGCAATGTATAAGACTATACATTTTTCCAGATCTAGGGCAAGTTGGCGAGGAATCTGGAACCAACATTATTATGCTGAATAAATCTGAAAAGGATTGAGGACAAATCTGTCCTTTAACCTAGGAGAATCCAGTAGATTTGTAACACTATTGGAGTGTTTTGTAAGCGTTTACCTCTGACCAGTCCACTCTTCATAGCCATTCCATGTAACTCCATGTTGTACTCCCTCTGTACATCCACCTTCCCCTCCCACCTCCCACTGCTTCCTGTTCACCTTCTCCCTCCATTCAGTTTTTTATCTGGGGAATTATTTGTTCCTAAAGACCAGTTCAGATGTTAGCTTTTGTGGAATGTTTCTCTTCATGCTAACTATGGGAGGGTTGTTCTAACCTCTCTGTGCTTTATATTATTTATTCCTATATATTATCATTAATAACTTTAAGCTGAACCAGGATATACATAACACATGCCATAAATGTTTGTTGAATAATAATAAAATATCCTTACCTTGAGAGAATTCACCATAGAATGAAAGCAGAAGCTTACAAGAAAAATAGATCTAAAGCAAGCAGACAATATATGGTTTTTTTTTAAATCACTAACAGAAGAGCTTGCTTGCATTTCTATAAATTTGTTGCCAACCTGAGCAGACTGAGGTTTTATTGCTTATTGCATAAGCCCTAAATAATGTGCTGGACTCAAATTGAGACATTTGCATTGACACAGGAAGATATTACAGATGAAATGTTGTGTAAGCAAAGACAGGAATATACTATTCCATAGGGTTTTTCAGAATGGAAGGGAAAATACCAAGAAATGCGATTACATACTTCACATAGTGTGAAACTGAGGTGTAAATAAATGGATAATCTGACTCTTTCTCTCTCTGTCTCTCAGTACTGGATGAATGAGTACACCTCATCCATTGGAATTGGAGTTTTTCATTCAGGAATTGAAGTATATGGTAGAGGTAAGTGTGCCCGAAGTTTAAATATACTTGCTGAACATTTTATCTGTTAAAGGAATTGCAGAATTACAACTATAACTTTTTTTTAAACCACTTCCATATGTTATTGGAGAAAGAAAAAATTCTTCCATATTTGTTTATACTGTGTTTTGGAAAACTGCCCATAGTAGTCTATATTCGGGGGGAAAAGTACTCAGAACACAAGAGTGTACATTCATTTCACTATCTCTTATTCCAAATTCTGTCTTTAAAAAACATTTGTCTTTTGTAATTGTTACACCCTTTGTTAGTTTCTTGTGCACTGATATGTATTAGAGTTCTGAGATCTTTGTACTTTGAAAAATGGCATAACAAAAACAATCATTTTGATTGGAAAGGGTTTGGTAATAGAGAATGTCAAACCTGAAGTGCCAATTTTCGGAGGGAATTTCAATAATAGATTTTGGTTTTTGTAGACTATTAAGTGTGTATTTATAAAGTCTAAAAATACCACAGAGCAAATCCTGCCTTTATTTACAGCTAGCACAGCCTTTGTCTTTAAATCAGCCCCTTTCATTCTTGTTATCTTTATTATGATAAACATGACTGGAGCCACACAAACCAAGAAGATGTGTTCTCAACAGCTTTCTCCTTTGTTCTGCTTTCCACTCTTAGTGTAAAATGATCTCCTTATCAAGTGGTGGTATATCAGTTGGAATCTTGAATCATAAGCCCACCTTATAGCAGAAATGCCTTTACTTGCATCAACCAGGCAGATTTTGTGGTCACTTAGAGTTGCAGTTAACTCAGGGTTACCCCTAAGACTACATACCAACTACAGGTAATACAGAGAAAAGCCGCTCACTCACATATTTGTGTCGGTACTGTTTTTATACTGTTCCCCCCCACCCTGCTCTGCCACTGAGCTACATCCCCAAACCTTGCTCCTTTTTATGTTCCACATTAGTGGATTTAGTTTAGCAAAATAAATAAATAGATCTTAACAATAAAAATCTTACCATTTAAGCTTCATTTTACTTACAAGGCCACACTACCAAGTTGCCCCATGCTGAGTAGCTCTTACTGAAAGTCAAGGTGATTAAAGTGTTGCTGTCTATGCATTTGCTCTTTTCATTAGTCTGATTTTTGCCTAATTTATGTATTACTTTTCGATTTAAACTTGGATGATATGTGTTGAACCATGTGTTTATGCTGTGAAGAGCATGTGCCATTTTCTTAATTTTTATATGATGAAACTGAGACCCACGGTCACATTGATAATGACTAACAGAACTGGGGTTTGGACCCAACTGTTTTGTATTTTGGTAGTAGTGAGGATTGTAGGCTTTCTCACTAAGCGACATCCTTTTTTTTCCCTTGAGGCAGGTTCTCACTAAATTGGTAAATTGGTCAGGCTGGGGCTTGAACTTTCTGGCTGTTGTACGCTAGTCTATTGCCCTGTGACATTCTGGTTATTGACCCCTTCATAACATGATTTAGGTATAATTAGAAGTATAATTTAAAACATGTCCATGCAAACTTACCAAAACTAGAACCAAATAAATTCTTGAAAGTGAATGATTACTTCGTGTATAAAATTGTGTCTGTCTTTCCTTTTATAAAGTTAAAAATTCAAATGTGATTTTCCACATCTAATCTGATTATCTGAAATACTTTTATAAAATTATATCATTAAAAGATTTAATATTTATATTTCAAAATCGAATCCTAAACAGTTTCTCATCTGTGTTGGTTTTCTAGAGTCTTCATTTCTTTCCTACGCATTGTTCTAAGACCTTTTAATATTATATTTAATAAATCTTAATTGTCCAATAAGATTTAATCTCCTAAATATCTAGGTGAGATTATCAGAATTACAGCCTGAAACTTTTGTTCCATCCTGATTTGAAATCATTTTCCATTGTTCTGGATGAGTTTATGTCAGGAAAGATGGACATAAGTGCACTATAATACAGATGGTGCCTTCCTAGGTAAAAGATTTGATGTGCAAAATAGGGGGGCTGCCTGTTAATTTCACAGGCTAATATTTTCTTGAATGAAGAGAATTAAATTTACTGTTTTGTGTTTGATAATGTTACGTCCTTAAAAAGTCAAGAGTATTTACTCAAGGTACCATGAGAACTCAGTGTCTTTAGGCAGTTTTCAATGAATGGCAGTTTGAAAAGAGCCAGAACACAAAGCTGACCACCAGAGACTGTTTAGTTTCAAGTCTTTCGTGACAGTTGTTCAACACTGGTAATAACTGAGATGTTTGTGAAAGTATTTTATAAAATGAAAAAATACTTAGTTGGTATCATTATCCTCATTCATCGAAACTAATTGAGAATTTAGTTAAATTTTATGTGATAATCACTAAAAATTGTGAGTTTTCTCTTTCAGAATTTGCTTATGGTGGCCATCCTTACCCTTTTTCTGGAATATTTGAAATTTCCCCCGGAAATGCTTCTGAACTAGGAGAGACATTTAAATTTAAGTAAGTAAAGGAGAATAATTTTTGTTATCTGTCTTAGGTGCCAAAACTTGTTTTTGAGGCATACAGAATTAATTCTGTAGATTAAAGTGAAAATGTTTAAGTTATAGCTGCTGACACTATTTTTAAATGAAATCTATTTAAGTTGTTATGTAAAGATGGGTTTCCAAAGCAAATGTCTGATAACCATTTATTAAGACCTATATAAGTTATTGTTTCTAAAGTATTTTTGTCTTTAACAACATATGTACATGTGTGTATGTATGTGTATATGAAAAACATAGTTAAGATAGTTATATTACTGATTTCTCTGAGTTTGCTGAAGAGAAAGATTTGTGCTGGTATTGTTTGGACAGTTGAATGTAGATGTCTTGTGCTCTGGGTGAATGATTTGGGGATGACAGTGCTCAATATATATATCATTTGTTGCCTCCCCATTGATGTGTTTTGAAATTTTGGTTGTTTTGTTTTGTTTTGTTTTTCTTTGTTTGTTCTCTCTGAAATAAAATGGATTTGGAGGGGGTGAAAAGTATTTTTGTCTTTTGGATCCTGTCTCAGGAAACTTGCTTGCTTAATGACAGACAATCGCTAACCCCCAGCATCCTATTCAGAGAGGAAAAGGAAAGCTTTATTTTTACCCTATCTACCACTGTTAGAAATCTCTTCCTTTTGTTAATGAAAGAAACACATGAATTTGGAATAACAAAACAATTGATCACCCTGGGCACTATTGTTAAGATACAGGTATATGGGTAATGATAAACCTACAGTGTGTGGCTTTGGGTGTTCCTTAGAGCCTGAGAAGCAGCAGTGAAAATCTAAATGATTTCCATTCCTTAATCAAGGTTTGTATTTAAAGTATTATTTACAATCTTAGTTTCAAGAAGCTTTAAAGAAACTGCTGAGCAGCTTGCCGAGTGAAAAATAATGTAATGACTATACAATACAGAAATTCAGTTTCAGGCTTACACACTATTAAGTTTATGGTTCTTTTATTTTTATTACTGAATTAAAACACTTATACATAGGAGAACAGTAATACTGTACTTCCTCAATCTATTCCTTTTTGAAACACTAGCTGATAAGATGACTTTCTAAGTGTTTTCAGCTGCCTTTTTGGCCTAACTTAAATCTGACTAAAATTCTGCTTTTTATTATTACAGTAGGTAGTAATTTTTTTTAAAATAATGCTTCTTAAACATTGATCAATTTTGACCATTTGTTTCACTGAGAAATAGTGGCAAGTAACTTACCTAATTGTTTCTAAATGAAAATAACCTGAGTGGTTGGTGGAGGGGTGGTTTTGTTTCATTATGATTTTTTTGGCTTTTCGACACTAGGTTTCACCATGCAGTTCAGGCTGGCCTTGAGCTCACTTTGTAGCCCAAGCTGGTCTCAAACTTGCAACCATTCTTCTGTATCTGAGTGCTGGAATTACAAGCATGCACCACCATGCTGCAACTAATGATAGCTGTTATTAAACAGGAATATGTTTAGCTTGGGTATGGGTCTCTAATGATATATGTTTTATGATGAATTCAACTTGGGTCCTTGTATCTTTCAGAAGTAGTAAACTTACAAGTTTATTGCAGAAAAGTAAAAACTAAAATAAATGAAATTGTTAAAGACTCTCATTTACCTATGACTCTTACTATGAACCCTGATTTATTGCATCAATCATAATATTCCTGGAAACAAGCAAACATTTAAATATACTTATTATAAATACCTGAAACTCACACAGCTGTGCTCTTCTTTTGTTGTTGTTTGTTCTTTTGTTTTGTTTTTTCATTTTGTTCTTTAAGAGAAGCTGTTGTTTTAGGGAGCACTGACTTCCTAGAAGATGATATAGAAAAAATTGTAGAAGAACTGGGAAAAGAATACAAAGGCAATGCCTATCATTTGATGCATAAAAATTGCAATCACTTTTCTTCAGCTTTATCAGAGGTAAATATAATTTTATCCTAAAAGCTCTTTAGATAAGTAATGTTTACTAGAACACTCACTGACTCTCTGAAATCAATCTTGATTCATTTCTTTTTCTGATTATTCATGTTGTGTAAAACAATGTTGTATTTCTGTTGTATAAATGACCTTTCCAGAATTAAGAGCTTGAGAGTCGGTATAGGTTTAAATGATAATTGTTCGTTTCTTTGTAGTGGGTAGAGATTGAGTTTTATTCTTCATTCATTTGATTATAGCTTCTCATCGATGAGACAAGTACCTGAGGAAAATACTTCGGCTCACAGTTTTATTTAGTCCATGGTTGGTTGGCTGTGTTGTTTGGGACCCTGTGGCAGCACAGCATGATGTGTCCAAGCGGGGACACATGGTAGAGCAAAGCTTCCTGATGTCCAGGATGCAGAAAGAGGGAAGAGGAGCACAGCCCCAGTGACCTGACATGACTTCTTCCACCAGGTCTTACTCTCGAAGTTGTGCCAAATCCCCATTGCCCTGCAGGCTGACATCCAAACTTTTAGCACGTGAGCTTTGGGGAGAGATTTAAGCATAGCAAACCGGAACTTTTCATTGTAAGAAAAATAATATACTTAGGAGACTGATGCTTCTTAATTACTAAAATTTCTCTTTTGTTAAACTTTACTTAACCAACCTGAATTTTTTTTCTTGGCCCTTATTTACGAGTAATTCATTTCTTCTATCTGAAAATCTGTTAGCCTGTCACACAGACTCTTTAATTGCCTTTCCTATTCTTAAATTCCAAACAGAAGATGGAAAGAAGAAATGAAAATAAAAGTCTAGAGAATTAAATAACACATTTCCTCAACTTTGATTTTTAGCAGATAATTGCACTGGTTAGCGTCAAGGTGCCACCGAAATTGCAGAAAATATAAAGAAGAAAATGACTACTGTTTTAGTGACTACTGTGCAGAAATGCTTGGCTACCTGGCCTTTTGCACTTCCCCTTTCCAACAAAGTTATAGTGGTCTCTCATCATTCTAGTCAAAGTATGTTTCATGAATGAGCAGTATCACCTAGAAATTTGTGGAATAAATATCCCTGCCCCATTATGTATGTACTGAACCACAATATTCGTTAACAAGATTTCCACATGATGTATATGAAGATAAGAGTTTGATGTGCTCACTCAGTCTAGAACATGCATCAGTATCACAGAGGGGACTAGTCAGTTTTGCAGGAGAGGAGAAAAGGTGATTCTGAGCTTTCTTGACCCCAGATATTAGACATGTAAGGAATTCATTCAAAGTTTGAAATGGATGCTTGAGTAAATTTAAGACCACCCCACCCAGAACTACGCAGCAAGACTCCGTCTCAAAAAAGGAGTTTGAAGAAAATGTTAGTGGAACACAACTTCTAAAGGCCAGCGATTAAACAGCCTAATGTATATATTCTTTAGCCGGTCTTAGGGCTTAAGAAAGCCTTTTCTGTCTTTTGAACTTGGAAATGTGGCCTTCTGGCCTTCGAGCATCACAGCTTTACACCAGAGAAAAGCGTCCAGCTTTGCATTGCTTTCTTCCCACTAAATTCATAAATATTAATTGCTTAGGTTTGACTCTAAACTAAAACCAGGCATTGTCTGCTATCGACAGTTTCAGCTTCACATAACCTCAGTTAAACTGCAAGGTGTAGGCTCAAGGAATGAGATTTGTATGTGGGAATCACTGTAGATTTAACCCCCCTCCTGTGAGGCCCTCAGCTATGTAAATAAGGTTGTTGACTGAACGGGACATTTGCACATTTCAACAGGAAAGTGCTTTTCTAGTGGGATCATCTGAAACCAAGCGCTGGTCAGCCTGGTGTTTCCAGTACAGGGACGAATTCTGTTTCCGACTTTTAATTATTGCCAAAAATTACAAGTGATAGGGAAAGCCCATCACCAGGACTGTGATTCCTGTGCCCACCATTGACAGATGTGTGACTGGAGTCGACTCAGGACCTTCTTAGATGAGTAGCTTTTGGTGATAGTGGGCTGATAGCCTGGCTTTCCTCCACATTCTTCTGGTACACCATCTTCAGTTTTGGTTTTGGTTTGAAACTATGTCTCACTGCATAGTTTAGACTGGCCTTGAACTTACGAGGTAGCCCAGGCTGGCCTCAAACTCATAGTGACCCTCTTGCCTCAGCCTCCTGAGGTGGGATTACAGGAATGCACCACCCTGCCAGCCACACATTTTCATAAGATGGTTTTATTACTAATTATAAGTCCCCAGAAATGGAATGGTTTTCTCACTAGATCAATGATCAGAGTGAAAGGGTTAAGTGATTCTATTAGCCCATTTTGAAATTTTCTTTTTCTTTTTTTAACTGCTACTTTTTTTTTTTTTTTTTTTTTTTTTTTTTTTGAGGCAAGATTTCACAATGCAGTTCAGGCTAGCCTTTATGTAGTGCACACTGATCTCAAATTCACAGCAGTCCTCCTGCCTCAACCTCCCAAATTCTGAGATTATAGGCAGGCACTACCACACCTGGCTCCATTTTGAAATATTTTAAAAATTTAGGATTTAATTTTGACCAATTCCTAAGTTTTTTTGGTTATGTTATATAAAAATACTTAATATTTCCCTATGAAAATTCTTTATTTCTCTTTAATACATCCTTCCAGACAAAAGGTCTCCATGAGAGTAGGGAATCTTTTAGAATGTGAACTTAGATTGATCATTGGAACATACTGATTTTGCAATCAAAATCAAAATCTTGACACCGAGGGAGACTCAAAGGATGACTTAAGCTTTCAGTAGTGAATCTTCATCTTTCAGTACTGCTATTTCCTCTTTGTAGAGAAAAATGTCCCTTGCTTATTAAGCACTGCCCACATTTTGAATGCCAGGCACCTGAGCCTCTGCTGACACCTGTCAGTGCTGACTCCGGGACAGCAGAGGGGAGGAGACCTCCAGATGCCATCCACCCTGAGGGGAGTGGTGTTCTGGTGTGGACGGACAGACCTGGAACTGACTGCCTCAGGGGATCCCTCCGGAAAGAAAGACACACTGACTTTCCCTGGACTGGGAACTTAGAGATTCCTTCAGACTTCACCTGTGTTCCCCCTTGCTAATTTTGTTTTATATCCCTTGGCTGTAATCATAGCTGTGAATATAGGTCTGTGCCACGTCCTGTAGTTCCTCAATAATTCTTCAAACCTGAAGGTAGTTTTAGGGGTCTATGTCATAATTTGTTCCCTGTCGTTCTCCAAAGGTAACCCTTTTCCTCTCTTGAATATTTAGTTTTGTGAATTTCCTTTCTTCTCTAGATTTAAAAATATTTTGTATGTTTCAGTTCAATGCAGTTACAGCTTTTGGCCCATCTCCTATCCTCCTTCAAGTCTTAATTTGCCTCAGTAATTTTTAATAGACTTTTTATTTTCTGGCATCAAATATTCCAGGCTCATCTGTATACTACATTTCTTAACCCTGTTTGCTTCTAATAAATATTTAGAAACCTTAATCTGGGTTCCTTCTTACTACTACATTGATGTAATTTCTGGATTTCTTTTTCCTCCAAGAGATAGATACATGACTTTTTACAGGCACATTCACATTTTAAATCTTTATCTTTCAAGATCAGTTTATTACAGTGTCCACAAACCAGCTGATATGTGTTAATCCACACCAAAAGAATCTATTCAGATAAAAACTGGGAAATCACAGAAACTACTTAGGACTAAATTTCATTATTATTAGCAAAAAATAGTATTGGCCGTGGACTGGAACGCAGCGAGAGGGGCTGGCACCAGCCTCCTGGGAGTCCCCCAAGTTCTTAAAACTTAACACTAAAAAACACAGTTAAATAGAGTTAGAGCTGCAGTTTTTAGTTAACCTTATCAGTGCTATATATTTTTCTCAGGTCAGGAATTTCATTTGTCCACAACAACGTAATTACTCTTACTTTATCACTCTATACCTAAAACAGCTTTAGAATAATAGGCTCACCACTGCCACCAACAATACAATTACTGGAAAGTTGAAGTTTTCTATGGTTCCTTGTCTTTGAGTATTACTTAATAAAGTGATACAGTCAAATGAGTATATATTACAATTAATTGAAATAATTGCTTTCTGTATGGTTGTTATCACCACTTTGGTTCAGTTCATTTGATTTTTTTTTTAAAGGTTGTGTTTGTTGTTGTTTAATTTTTTGTTACAATAAAATCTTCCTACCATTTCAAAGTGATACCTGGAAAAAATGGTATATTTATGGAAGTCTATCTTCATTGTATTCTACTCTTCTCTGGCTTCTAAAACTGTAGAAAAATAGTAGTGTTTTAACCTCCAAGTTTTTGTTACAACAGTCATGGAGAGTTAGTACTGTTGCTGGTACCTGGAAATACTACTGTAACAGATACCTCAAAGTAAGACAGTTTTGGAATTAGATGACAGAAGAGAACTGGAGCAGTTTGGAAGGGCTTGATAGAAAAGGCCTAGATTACCTTGAACAGACTGCTGTAATAATACGGTTACGAAAAGTGCTGCTCATTAAGGCTTAAGAAGGACATGATGAAGATGTCACTGAAAACGAGATAAAAGGAGATCTGTGTTACAAAAATGTGGTTGAATTGTGTTCTGCATTTACATGGAAAGCAAAACTTATAAGCAGTAAACTTGATAATAATCTGCTTTCTTGTTGCTTACAGTAAAATGTGAAAATACAACAAATAGAAAAAAACTAAAGCAAAAAAGAATCACTACTTGATGATTTGGGAGATTCTCAGCCTGTTGAAAGTGTAAAAGATGCTAAATGTAGAACTTTATTGATAGGAAAACATATTATAAACTGAACATGGTGGCACATGCCTGTAATCCCAGCACTCAGGAGGCTGAGGCAGAAAGATTGCCATGAGCTGAAGCCCAGCCTGGGTTACATAGTGAGTTCAAGACCAGACTGGACTACAGAGTGTGGCCCTGTCTTTTTAAAAAAAAAAAAAAAAAAAAAGTTATAGGGAGACTAAGGTTATAATGGGACTACCTTTTCGGCTCCGCAAGAACTTAAATATATGCCTCATGGATCCTCTGAACCACCTCACCAGAAACCAAGAAAAGAGGTGGATTATCCAGAAAATCTAATGGAATCATTCAAGGAGGTTACACAGGAGTCCTCTATTTTAGAGCTTGTTATATTAGCAGAAATACTGTCCCATTGGACTGAAAGTACAAAGAGCACAAGATGAAAGAAGATGTGGACTACAAAATTTACAGGCAAGAAATAGGTTGGTGAAAGAGGAAGTGTGAGTCCATGGGCAGACTTCAAGGACCCATTTAATATTTAATATCCAGTTGGATTTTAGAATTGATAAGGACTAGTAAGTCCTTCTTCCCATCCATGTTCCCTCTTTTGGGTTTGAAATGTCTATTGTAACTATTATCTGTCCAACCTTTATTTTTTAGGCATGTCATACACTTTTCTCTGCTTTGCTTTTTTTTTTTTTTTTTTTTTCCATTAAACCGTATGGCAGGTCCCCTTATCTAAGGGTATATGTTCCCAGACCCCTAGTGATGCCTGAAACTACAGATGGTAGTGAATCTCAGTTTTTCCATATATGTATATACCTATGATAAAATTTAATTTATAAATTACGTACAATATTAAAATACTTCACACGGTAATAAAAGTTATGTGAATGTTATCTATCTCTTGAAAGAGTCAAGACAATTTCAGTAGTTTTGGATCACAGTTGACAATAATTACCTGAAACTCCAGAAAGCAGAACCTTAAGGGGGATGCTGTTGCAATGCACCGCTGTGCTGTGTACCTTAGAGCTCATTGTGTAGCAGGTACAGACTTGTGCTTTCTTTCTCTCAGCTGAGTAGTGCTTGTGTAGATGACCATAATTTATTCAGCCACTGTCCTGTTAATGGTATTTGGGGCCTATTACAAAAAGTACAGTTTTTAAAAAAGTTACATACCTCTGCATATTTATTTTTACAAGTGTGTCTCTGACATAGGTTCTCAGGATTACTGGATTGAAGACTAAAAGCAAAGGCATTTTGCTGTGTAAACCAAGTATTATTGGACCACTAGCCACAGTAGGAAGTACATTTTAGGGGTTGGGAATTTAGCTCAGTGGCACAAGTACCTACCTGGTAAGCACAAAGCCTTGAGTTCAATTCCTGGTACCAAAAAAAGAGTACATTTTAAATTATGATTGTGAACATGTACACATGGGCATATTTTTATTGAGTATCAGTTACCTCATTTTTGACAATCTTTCATTTTAAAAATTCAGAATGCAATGCTAAATGACCTACTAATGGGTTTCACTGAAACTTTTAACATTGACATCAAGGTTTGCTTTCTTTGTATGAAAAAACAGTACCTTTTTAGGTTTATAAACTAACAACTCATAATCCCACCTCTGCTTCTGCCACTGTAGCCCAGGAGTCATACACAGTCGCTAAGTGTGAATAGGCATGGCTAGTCCAGTAAGAGTTGATCTACAAAAACAGGTGTCTGAAGATTACAGAACTGTTTTAGGATAATCAAGCCATGCCCCAAATCAACTTCACCTGTATGCAGCACATAGAAATACAGAAGAATAAAGTTGCTGAATAAAATTAGAGCTCAGAAATGAAATGATTGTTGAATAGGTAGAGTGGCTGTCACAAGAACAACCTAAATATTCTTAATTACCACTTAGTGGTTACTCTCCAGATAGCAAATATTCCTAAATATGTCTCAGGTTAAAAGATACTTATCAGGCCAGGGGTATAGCTCAGCAGCATGGTGCGTGCCTGACAAGCATGAGGTTCTAAATTTGATTCCTAGTTCCCCCCCAAAAAAATGCATTCAGTTTTTAAAAACTGAAAGATGTTGGAAGATTGGGTTTGATGCTCAACACAATCAAAAGAAAAGGAAGCGGGGAGTGGTGTCACATAAAGTTATTGCTCAGCTTTCTCCCAGATTTAGTCTATGTGTACATTCTTCAAATCTTTTAAATACCTGTCTGCCCCTTCAGGCACTGTACGAAGTACTGGATAATCAAAACTGGTCAGAAGACACTACTTTCCTTGAAGTAAAACCTCCTCACTTTACCTGTAGTTCAGATAGAAAAGTTGTGTTGCATTCATAGGTACCAGCTTACTTAAATTTTAGCTAATTTTTTGGCATAAAATACTTTGAAACCTCTTTCCAAGTTCAGTAAGATACACAGATGCTTTAAGATGGCACTTTTCAGATCCTGATCATAATCTTGGACATGTCTTAAGGTAAAAGCACTAAAGGGGCCGGGGGAGTACGGGCTAAGTTAAGCCCACTATTATATCTAAGAGCAGGGGAGGATAATAAAGAGAACGTTCTATGAAAGATCCGGTGCTTACTAATTGAAGCAGGAGGGACTCAGAAATCCTGAGAACAATGGAAGGTTGAGAAGTGGGTGCATGGATACAGTACATCATCAGCAGCGCCCACTTGTGCCCCCAGTTGTCTTCATGCTGAAGCATGCCCAGACTTAATACCGAGCTCTGCAGAGGAGTCACAGGGCCAGGTGGGCACACTTCTTTGTGGATCAGGACAAGCTTCCGTGAAACAGTTGTGGACAGAAGTAAAGGGATAAAATGTAGGCCAATAAAAATGAAGTGATAGAGACCAGAGGACAGCAGAAAAATATCTTTTAAAAAGGAGAATTGACAGGAAAATATTGAGGATGACTCAGCTATATGGGTTTCTTTTACTTTTAATAACGTGTTGTATTAACAAATGTCCTTTTTCTATGTTTAAAGTACTTTTATGTGTGTTTCAAAGTAGTTGAAGGATCAAAGAAAAGAAAAGCCAAGTGGAATTAGCTTGATTTTACTTTTACGAGCAAGCAGCTTGACAAGGTCCTTCAGAAAGGAAGAAATAGTACTGACAGGATCTCTAGGCTCCCAAGTTAAGGAGCGGCTTGTTGTCAGAAGCCTCGAGGGACAGTACAGACAGCTGGCTGGTTGACAGTGGCTTTTCTGTCCCTGCTCCCGCCACCTGCCCTCCACCTGTGTGGCTATGGACCAGGTAACGTTAGCCCCTCTGACCTAATGCAGAACTCTTTCCCCTCTGTAGATACTTTGTGGAAAAGAGATTCCTCGCTGGATCAATCGACTTGCCTACTTCAGCTCCTGTATCCCCTTTCTACAGAGCTGCCTCCCAAAGGAGTGGCTCACTCCTGCAGCCCTGCAGTCCAGCGTCAGCCAGGAGCTCCAGGATGAACTGGAAGAAGCAGAGGATGCTGCTGCATCTGCTGCCATGACAAGCACTGCAGCGGGCTCCAGACCTGGGCGTCACACTAAACTATAAATATCTCCAAAGTCACACCTGCAGAGCTGTCTCTGGCAATTGAAAATCACTAGAGGAAAGTAAACAGAGTAAGCATCCTTTGGATATTTTGTATGCAAAGATGGCTCTCCCCCAAATCCCAGTTTTTCAGCTCAGGATTATATTTGTAATCAAAAAACAAAAAAAGAATCACTTGGCGCAGGAGGGAGAACTTTGTACAAAGCTGCCCTCTGTTTTTTTTACCCACTTGTACATTTGGATTTACTTGTTCTGTTTTATACAAGCTCTGTTAAGTTATGTTTACAGTATTTTGTATCGCTGTTTACAAATCTTGCATGGACTTCTGCCGTCTGAAAGAAGAAAATCCTCATCTTCAGAAATTAGGCAGGTAATATTTGTACACTTCCTGACAATTGCCAGAGCTATGGCATAATCAGTAGGCACACAAAAAGGTACTTACAGAGTTAAAAGTTCTCATCTCCTGCTTTAGAGTTCTTTTTTAGATTTGTATTTGTTTTGTTACTGTTCGGGGCACCAGGATGCAGAGAACCAAACTGGCCTGCTGTGAAGGAGCACACACAGCCCAAGGGCGTGGGACCCTGGGCCACTTCCTCCTCCACTCCTCCTCCCACTCCAAGTAGCACATCTCCCAAGGTGCCCGTTGGACAGTTGGTGTCATCCCAAGTATCTGTCCACCAAGCAGGGTGGTCTTTTTGTGTCAGTCTGGCTTTGATGCCTCCGATTCGACAGGATGGTTTTGTTGAAGATAGTCTTGTAACTGATAAGTGTTTTTGCACACATGTGCGGGGGGGGGGGCTTCATTTTTATCTTAATACATGATAATTTCCTCCCCACACTCAATTTTGTTAAACGGATAGGAATAACCTAAGCGGTAGCCTTCTGAGTAGCAGTATGAGTTAACATTCAGCTGCTTTTCACTGTTCAGGCTATCTTTTATACTAGACCTTGAAAAGTAGATTCTAAAGAAACATACCTTCCCAGGGTCGTCTTTGATATTTCATACTTTTAATGTACCATATCAGAAAGCATATTTTGTTACGGGAGTAGTTCCACCTCATAAATGAATGCCTATTCTCATCGACTTCTTGTTGAAAAGTTGTATTTGTGTATTTTAACATTCACCTTTTTATGTTCTCAATTGTGTGTCTCTTTTACCTCATGCTTTAAGGAGGAATTTGTCACCAGAGATAAATCCTCATTAGCAAGGATGCTATCTGCTCAAGCCTACTCCCAGTTTGACCCTTGGATGTAAGAAACAAGTCATTACCTGTTAAATTGAATTTTTCTGCCTTAAGAATGAATGTCCTAAGTAAAATATTGGATGCAGTATATAGATGATCCAAGGCAGTGACTTCAGATTTAGATGTTAGTTTTAAGATTATTTACATTTATTTAAACTTTTAGATTGGACTATTTACTATTGCTCTCTGTGGTGATACATATCTTTCAGTAAACTACATTTTTAACTTTTCCATAAGCTGATTTTAATTGATTTTTATCAATTTAAGCACACCCTGTTGATAGGGAAAATAAACCTTGGGTTATAAACATTGGCCTGAGGAAAATGAAGCCACTTTATGCTTTTTGACTATTCTATTTCCAGAGAGAAAAGCCTTTACAAATTAACTCTTAGAGGATGGAGCACTTGCTTTAAGAGATGTGAAGGAAGGAATTTATGATCTTTATGAAATGTTGATTTAGTTCAGGTCTAAAAATGAGACAAGACAAAGCACTAAGGCACTAACAGTCCCTAATTTGTTCACTAAGAGTCCTTGCACCAAAAGCCAAATTAGTAGGAAGGGTTTTGTTGCATTTGGCCCAGAATTTTCTGGTAATGATGGATTACAGTTTTCTCTGACCCATTCATATACGCATGTTTTAAATGTGGGCTTCTGGCCCAAAGGAGTAACCATTAGTTAAACACTTCTCGATGAATAACTAGGGACATCTGATCTTTGCTTATCCACAGTTCAAGTTAACACACAAACCATTTTGTTACATTTACTGCAGCATTTGAAATTTAAGAATAGTACAAAGAGTATTAGAAACAGTGGCCTGTGGCCAATTATCACACTAAAAATTTGAGCTAAAATTCTGGACATGTAGCTGGCATGGTGGAGTATGTCTATAATCTCAGCATTTGGGAGACTGAGGCAGGAGAATCCCTGCAAGTTCAAGGCCAGCCTGGAATACATAGACCTTGTCTCAAAAAAACAAACAGAAACAGCCATAGTGACTCTTACATGGCTGGTCCTCCCTCCTGCTGTAGACTGCACTTCTTCTCTACTTTTTACTTGGCCCAAACTTGCCCTGCAGAGCTTGTTTCTTGTCCTACCCTTAATAAAACTTTGCTACCATTAAGACCGAAATCAGAAATTCTGGACATGAGATTCGTTGCATTCTAATTATTATACTTGGGGGTTGAGAGAAAAAGAAATGTATGTCTTTTTCTCATTCAAGCCAGTCCTTTACAGTTTAAGTCAAGAATGGATTTAATTAGCATTTAACCTGCTTTCCTTGCCCTGCCATCTTGTTTTTTTAAAAAAAAATCTCATGTCAAAAATCTGGTCACTAGCATATATGTCATTGATGGAGTCAGATACACTTTTTATTGTGATGACTAAGCAAAACATTTTTCCTGACGGGTTAAACAGTAATAATCATGTTAGAAGGTCAGAAGTTTCTGCTGTTCGTTTTTAATGGCCCTTGGGGTTGTTCATTGGTTTTTGGTTTTATCTTTCTACCCTAAGAAGGGGCATCAGCTTTGGAAAGCGTGACTTGTGGGATTGTGGAAGGTGGTGGTGCCATCTTACAGAGCCTCCACTTGATGCCTGAACTCCAGCCAACTATTGCTCTGACCCACAGCAATAGCGCAAGTTACCCATCACCAGCATTTGTACAGAGCAGGGAATTCTGGTTTTAGTTGATAGATAACGTTGTGTGTATGAGGAGATTCAGCACCACAGACAGCTGCAGGACTCTGTTTCCATGGCTTCTTCCATCACAAAACGGGTAGAAACGTTCACTGCTTCAGGGTTCTAATCTGTGTGTCTTATGGCTCCATATCTGTAAGGTACCCTGTGATTTGATACATGCGTATTCCTTTCGGAAGTTGAGTTTATTCAACAGGTTGGCCATACTGCCATCGCATCCCCTTCTCTTCAGTATGGTTTGAAGTCAGCTCAGTCGTGAGGCTTTCATTGTCTACTCAGTCCATACACGTACATCCACCGTCCAAACGTGTTTCAGCTGTCAGAGTCTTCATGGACCTGAGAATAATTTCTTGTAAAGTTGAATGCAGTGTACTGTCATTCATAGTGTTTATATAAAAATACCAGGAATCTTCACTTTTGCTACCTTGATATAGCATTGAGCTATCATGTTAAAACATTGATATACATCAATTTATTAAAAAATACTTTTATAAGAAATGTTTTATAGTACTTTCTGACCTCCAGGAGACTGCTGTTGTATATTGGGTTGGGGTAAGGGGTGGGGGAGGTTACAGCCAGACCCTCTTGATCACACCTTCCTCTTAACCATCACTGGGCACTTTTTCTCATGTGTGCCAAGGTCTACGGGCCAGAGCCTTGCTGTCAGAGAGCACGTGGCCATTCCTACTTGAAAGCCACAGTGGCAACCTAGGATTCTGGAGAATGGAGATAAGGCAGGCACCCCAGAAGGGACTCCCCTGAGAGAGCAGGGGGAAACTTACAGAGCCCCACCCCCACCCCACCCGTCCAAATCTCAAAGCATGAATTGGTATCCTGAGTGACCAGGCTCTTTTTTTTCCCCACCAACCTGTTCTGCTTGGTGCCTCCAACCTGAGGCTTCCCCTTTTTCCACTGGTCTTTCCGTTCCTTGCTGAATGATATTTCCATCCACTAATTTCAAAACTTCTCTTGAAATAAGTATTATTAAATAGATGAGTAATATCCTTAATGGTCTATCATTGCCTGTCCGTCCACCCTGCTGAGAATATAACTCACCTGTTCTCAAGGATAGGAACCAAAAGGTAGCCTGTACCCGTGGTGTAGTACTGTTTCTTGGTAGACAGTAATAGTTACCAACTCACGCCTGGTGAAGCAACTTCGGGGTCTTGCTGATAGGAAGGATGCTGGGAGAGGTGGGAGGTTTGGGGTTTTGTTGGTTTTCCTTTATTATCCACCCTGAAGTTCTCCCATCACCCTAGTTCTAACTTTACAGAAGTTGGTGCTTGTAAAGATTAGTGACTTGCTGCATTTTCCAAGAGGTACATTAGTGCCAAACAATTGCTTACTTCCTCATTGATTTGAAAATCCAGGCAGCTGCTGAGCCCTGCCACATCTCCCTTTAATCTCCTCTCTAAAAGGACAGTCCTCCCAGAAAGATCATACCTTGAGCCTATGTTGAGAATTTTTCTTGCTGTCCAGGCCAAATAGAAAGCTAAAGAAGTGTAAGCGACTCTTCTCAACAAGATGAGGGAGGCATTTGGGTTGCAGAAGTAAAAGGAGCCCAGCTGTTGCCACCCGGCCCTGGTCTGAGCAGGCCGTGCTCATGGTCCTGCTGAGAATGCTGTTGACTGGAGGAGGTGAGGCCTCCCTGACCCCGACCCACTGCCCCCTGGTTCCACTGCACGCTACTCCTTGCCACTTGGCAGTCCTCGTGCTTAGAGAAGCCTCGGCTGCCACCCTGTTCTCTCCACACCCCTAACTTGCAGACAGTCTGTGCTCTGTAGTACAGGACAGCCTTCAGGTACTTCTGCAGCCCTAACTGTACGTTAGGTTGTCCTTAGGCTCAGGAGTATCAAGTCAGACTCCTTCACGTGACTCCTGCCTTACTCTGCACCGGAAGAGGTATGCGTACTAGACATAAGTGAGAACAACCCTGGGGGAAGGCATTGCTGTCGACCCAGTGTATTCAGCCCAGCCAGCCCATGCGTGTGTGCTCAGACGGGCTGAGCGCCCAGACTGCAAGTCAGAGTAAGATCTCGGGACCAGGGCAGAAAAAACTAACGTCTTCCTCTTCTGCCAGAATCAGTAAGCAGGTGCCACAAAAGGCCAGCACCCCTGCACACAGAAAAAGATTATCACTTAAATGGTAAAAAGTCAGGCCAGGGATTATAGCTCAGCGGCATAAGTCCTGCCTGGCAAGTGCAAGGTCCTGGGTTTGATTCCAGGTATCAAAAAAAAAAAAAAAAAAAAAAATAGTGAAAAATCATAGAATTGAGGAAAAAAGACAATAAGGAAAAGATTTTTATTCTACCCTTGCAATGTGCTTGAAGCTATGCTGTACTCTACATGCACTTCATTGTTACTGCAGCCTTTAGGTTGTGCCTACTTTACACAAGAGGTTATTAGCCCAAGTCCACACAGTAGGAGGCATCCCTCCTAGACCAGCCAATTCTAAAGCCTTCCATTTAGGCATGCTGCTGTTTTGAAATGGAAACTCCAGCCCAGCCCAGAAATACTGAAGTCAGCAAGTCCACATTTTACCAAGATCCCCAGGTGACCGCAGTGACATTTGAGAAACACTACTGTGTGCCGTTAAGACTCGGTCCTGAGTGGTATGAGTGCTCTGCCCCTTGAAGTGGTAATTGACTGAGTGAAGTGAGCATCGGCAGCCGCACAGGTGAGGCGCAGAAGGGCTGGTAGGCAGTTCCCTGCCAAAATGGAGTGCTGAGATTCAGGCACTGAGGACTCGGGGCCAGTTCAGCTGTCCTCTGCCTTCCTGAGAGCGCACCAGGGCAGGGCCCGTGGTGTGATTGTCCCAGTTTACATCTGTTGTCACTGAGGGCCCAAGCTGCCCGGGCCTCCATCCCATGTCCTCACCCTGCCTATTCCGCAGTGCCCGCAGTTGAGCCAGCACTGTTCACCGCCCCATGTCCAGAGTGTGCTCTGAAGCTCCCATCAGCAAATGCCCAGCTGGCACCATCCTTTGAGACGCCTCAAGAAACATTCTGCTTCACCTGAAATCCGGCTACCCCACTAAGGAACTCTGCTGCTCAGCAACTCTGCTCTCTCCACACCATTGCTCTCCTTCAAAACTTCCCAGTGACCTCGCACCCACACAGCCCATCCAGTGCTCTAGCCCCATGTTCTCAGCTGTGGCTCTGTTGCCGTTTGTGTTGGGATGGTTTTTTGCCCATGACAGCACTTCAGTCATCTCTAGCCCTGCCCCTGCTTAGCAGCGTTTACCCCCTCCACAACCACTGCAACACTAAATGTACCCCAACACAGACACATTCCACCCCCACAGAACCACCAGCAGCGTCCCACGTCAGCCACACACCGCAGCCTCTGCCTGTCGTCACTAGCAGTGACCACTTCTAGAATCTTCAAGCAGCTGGGGTTGCTGATGTCCCTGCTCACCTTCGCACCATATGCTGCAGCAAGTCTGCCTTACCAAGCTCTCAAATCCATCACATCCAGGGCTCCTTTACCAACATCCACTCCCTTTGCCGGGTCTTCATTTTCTTCTTGCCCAGCCTAAATGGCATCCTCAGTAAGTGAGTCATTTCCTGCTCAGTATCCTCCATCCGCTTCAGTGCCCCTTCCTGCATTACAAGGCAAACCCTAGACTCACCCACCCCCATGTGTGAGCCCCATGAGCAGAACATGACGAAGGAAGTCACAGCTGGAATGAATGGCTTGATTCTGACACTCCTGCTCACAGAGCCGGCATGGGCACCCCGTGCTGTGGTGTACCCCAGCTCCCTGTCAGTGCCCCCACCTCCCTGAGGTCTGCCACGTGCTCAAGTGTTCCCACAGTCACCTTACCCCACAACACAAAGGCAATGTAGGCAGTTGACCCTCTGCCTCCCAAACTACAAAATTCACCTGAGCTAGTACCAAATCTCTATGCTGTTCCATAGCCTCTGCTGCATAGCAGTCGCCCTCTCCCTCGTCAGTGCCTCCCATCACCTTGCCAGCCCTCGGCTCCAGCAGCCACTCCGGTCCCTTGAGCATCGGATTTCTTCTACTGAATCCTCCCCATCAGCATAAAACATATTACAGGATTTCTCAGCAAAAAACACGCACTCTGCCTTGATGCCCTCCACTCTAAGCAACACTGCCACCCTCAGCTTCTAGAAATACCTTGTTAATTGGGACTGGGGACATAGCTCAGTGGTAAAGTGCTTATCTAGTGTGCACAAGGCCATCGGTTCAATCCCTCACACTGCAAGAAAAAGAAAAAATACATAGAATACAGGCAGTTTGGAGAATGACAAAATGACCACCAGCCTGTACTAACTGCCCAGCTTAAATAATAGAAATCAGGACTACAGATCACATGTAGCCCCTCCCCAGGGATGTGTTACTTCCTCAGCTCTGTCACACCATCCTGAGGTTTGCATTAATCATTTCTTCACTTTTCCTTTATGGTTTTATCACCTACATATGCATACTTAATGTTGCTTGGTTTTCCCTATTTTTGAACTTTATATAAATGGAGTCATAATGTATATTCAGTAATTTTAAAATTCTATATTTTTAACTTTATGCATATTAATGTACATAGTTGAAATTCCTTTTCATTGCTGTATCATAGCGTATATAAATATACCACAATTTTTATGTTTAATGGACACTTGGACTCCTGCCAATTTTGTCACTGATAAGCAATACTTGTGTGAACAGTGTAATGAATATCTACTGCTGCAGATGGAAGGGTTCTCTAAGAATGGAATTGGAAGGTGTGAAGAATGTATGTGTTCAACTTTATTGATGTAGAAAAATAATATTCTCTTCTACTATACTTTTATTAAATAAAATCCTATTCAGTCCTCTTTCAGTCTGCTAATCAGAGTTACACAAGCTAAAATATTCTTTTACAATGTCACATAATGAAATTTCTCAGTGCCTGGCGTTAAAAAGATTTTTTCATTAGTAGCAAAAGTCAAGAAGATGAAAACCATAATGAGCTCCCGCATAGCCCCTAGGAAGATAAGAATATCATAAAGTATTTTTTTTAAAAAATCTGACTGAGCATCTTGTTTCATCTTGTGAATGAAATGACCATTCATAAAGATCCATCATGATTTGCAGCTCTGTTGAAACCACAGGCCCTGGTTAGAATCCACAACTTCAGGAAATAAATGAAAATATTGTGAAGATACCCTCCACGAGGAACGTACATCCGGCTCTCGTCTCCCTAGAAAATTCACTGCCTTGGTTAAAATATTGTAAATGGCATCTCCATCTCCATGTTCCTTAAAGGTTTGCATATTTGGAAGGTTTCCCTGACAGATCAGGGAGCACCGCATACTTTTCCCCTGCACGTGATGAATAGCAATGAAAAATCAAAGCCCTTGACACCTCCCAGGAAAGATTATTTAACAAGTTATCTCAAAGTTCATGCTGCCTCTAACTCAAACTAGATCATCAAAATTATTTTCAAGGGCCTGGGATATAGCTCAGTGGCATAAGCCCTTGCCTGGCAAATGCAAGGTCCTGAGTACCCAAATAAATAAACACAAACAAAATTATTTTCAAAAGTGCCTGTAACACTCTCACCAGTAGATGTGGGAAAGTTTGCTCCATATCCTAGCCACTTTATACTGAGTGACCCTAAAGTTTTCCAGTGTGATAAGCATCTATCTGTGCTTTCCGCCTACATTTTCCTGATTATTAATAAGGCTGACACTCTTTATATATTTCTAAACCATTTATGTTTTCTATGAAATATCCTATCTTTTGCTCACTTTTCTATTGGGTTATCTATCCTTTACTAATTTGTAGGACTTCTTCACATATTCTGGCTATCATTCTTTGACCGTTCTATAGCTACAAGTATTTTCTCCCAGTTTGAGACTTGTCTTTTTATTACCTTTAAAGTGTTTTCTCTCTTCAGAAATCTCTCTGTCCCTCTAAATTATAAAAAATATTGTCTTATATTTTCTTCTAAGTATTTAGTGTTTTTCTTTTGAATTTGTCTTTATAATTCTCAATACATGATAAAGCAAATACTCCCAGATTCATTAGGGTATCTTTGTTATTCTTGGCCTTTTACTCCTCTATATCAATTTTATTTTATTTTATTTTCTTCTATATAAATTTCAGAATCAGCTCCCCATGTTACATACACATGCACACACTCTGTTAGAGTAGAATATGTGTATTAACTTGTAAAGAATCAACATCCCAACCACATCATCCATGTATCATTAATACCTGAACTTTTTTTTTTTTTTTTTTTGTACCAGGAATTGAACTCAGGATCTCACGCTTGTCAGGCAGGCACTGTGCTTATGAGCTATATCCCCAGCCCAATATCTAAACTTCATGTTCGTGTTCTACACTAATTCCTATGCATTTTCAACATTCCAACAATATCTCACATTCTGCCTCCAAGGCAACAAGCTTTAATCAGAGCAAAATCTACCTCCAAACTGTCTGCCTTAAAAGCAAAACAATATGGAGCCAGAATATCAACTTCCGTCTATTTACATGCCTGCCTCCCACGCTGATTCATGAACTCCTTGACACACAGACCTATTTCCTGTCTTAACAGTGATTACCAGTGTAACAATAATAGCGAATGGCTATGGGGGACTTACTCTGTGCATGCTCTGCTCTAAATGTCTTTACATGAACTATGTGTTTTGTGCTCTCAATAAGGTAGATTTTATTATGGATCTTTTTAATTGAGGTTCAAGAAATGAAGTCACTTGCCCAGGGTCATGCAATTTGTAAGTGAAAATAGGATGCAAGCTTCGAGGGCCTAGTTCCAGACTCCTTGGAAGCTTCTCAGTTCTGCCTCCACGGGAAAACATTCACAAGTTGTGCATCATAAAGACATTCTCCAGAGGAGCCCAAATTGAGGGACATTTTACAAAATCCCCGCAAAATTGTTAAAGTGGGAAACTTTAAGTCTACAAGAACCTAAATGATGCGTGCGTATGGCATCCTGGATGTGATGCTGGTACACAGCAAAGAGATGCTAGGTAAAAACTAAGGCAACGGACCACCTGCGGCGCTGATGCAGGCCCAACTGTGGGCACAGCGGGGCGCTGCGGAGGCTGCACCCTTGGGCTCAGGCATGAGTTCAAATTGTGTGTTCCCAGAGTGATCACACCCTCCTCCCTAAATGATAAACGAAATTTGCCCATTACAGGTAGGAAGACCTGACTCTCCAATTCCTGAGGAGATCTATCTTCAAAGGACAGAGTATATTTCTAAGTAGAGAATTCCAGGAACCTGTGCAAGGAGCTCTTTTCTTGCCCAAAGTCTGGGTGGGTGATGCCTTAGCACTTACTGAGCAACCAGAATTAGCAGCTAAAGTGGACACGGTTTGGATAGGGGAGGGGGCATGATAGTTCTGTTTATACCAAAGCCGTAACTTGGCCAGGCCATCTCAAGCTATTTGTGACACAGATCGCGTAGGAATTTGATAATGACACATTTTCCCCAGCAGCTGATTTACTAGAATACCCAGGTGTGCTTTCTGAGACCTAGGAGGAGAAAAGCAGTAAATACAAGCTTCAACTATATGAAAAGGATGATTACTATGAAGGAGTATTCTGATCTATTTCAAGTTGTTCCCCTTCCTTCCAAAAATTGTATATTTATACATAAAAGGAGAAACACTAAGGAAACTAATAAAGCATAACTTCCATCTGGCTGGCCACGGTGGTGCACGCCTGTAACCCCAGCGCTCAGGAGACTGAGGCAGGGGGATCACCAGGTCGTCAAGGCCAGCCTGAGCTATATAGTGAGTTCAGGCAGGCCTGAACTGCAAACCAAGAACGTTTCTCAAAAAAAAATGGGAGAAAAAAATCATCTCCATGATACTACATTTTATCCAACATGATAAGTATCACTCCATGTAAACTGATACATATGTGTTGTGCTGAGAACTGGATTTAAACTCACTACCTGTGAGCTATATCTCCAGCCCTTTACCCCAGGAATGATGAGCCTCTGCCACGAAGATGCAGTCTCCAGGGATTGGCACTGAATACCCCCAGGTGATTAGCAAGACCTTCCCGGCCTGGCCACATGGAGTTTGACCCTCCCAGATGGAGTCCTGAGAATTACTCACCTTAGAGTTCCTGGCTGCTTAGTACCTAGAGCCGGAGCTCACGCTGCCCCTGTGTGGGTCCGCAGGAAAGTCTGAGGGGACAGGGACTCCAGGAGCTGTGTTTCTTCTGCACAGCTGTCTCCTGTCTCAGCTGTGGCCTCTCAGTTCACATCGTCCTTTGCCTTCCTGGATGTGGTTTTCTGTCATCAGCAGAGTGATACCACGGTCCCAAACACAGCTCTGAACAGAAAGCCAGGGCCAGTGTGGGCTTCTGCTCTCACAGTGGTTTCACAGACAGCCCTTTGTCGTAGCTGTTCGTAGCAGAAGTTTCATTTCATTTTGTAGAATCAAACTGGGCCTGGTGATTTTTTTTATAGTTTGTTTGTTTGTTTGTTTGTACCAGGGATCAAACTCATGACTGCACACTTACAAGGCAGGCACTTATACTGCTGAGCTAAATCCCCAGCATTATGGAAATATTTAAAATATTGATTCTATTAACAATTATCAGAATATTTGAATGTGTGATTGTTTTTCAAGTATATTACTAGGTTCTATAAGAATATATCCATTTTATTTTATTTTTCAAATACAAGCTGAGCATCACTAATCTGAAAATCCAGAATCTGAGATGCTCAAAACCTGACATATCACCCAAATATTTCAGTTTGGGGAACTTGGAATTTTTAGGACAAGGCTGCTTAAAAAGTAAAGTCTATGTAAATATCCCACAATCCAAAAACCTCTGAAGTCTGAAACATTTCTGGACCCAGGCATTTTGAGTAAGGGATATTTAAACTATATATTGCATGAAAATATGAATACCATATTTTTACCTTTTTAATTATTGCTAAATATCTAACATCCTCTTTTTCACTTAAATAGTGAAATGACAATAATGTCATTTCTTTGTGTGCATACACACTCATTTCCCTTTTAAGAGTTTGTTGTTTGTTTGCTTTTTTCCTTTTGAGACAGGATCTCACCATGTAGTTCAAGCTGGCCTTGAATTTACTAAACACCCCGGGGTGGCCTCAAACTCACAGGCATCCTCCTGCTTCAGCATCCCAAGTGCTGAGATTACAGGTGTGCACCATCACTCCCAGAAAGTTTGGTTTTTCTGTTTAGAATTTTCCCCCAAACAATTAACTTTTGGTTACATTTACACTCTGTTGTGTGATTGTTTTGTCATTAATTTCTACTTTTCACTTTTTTCTTCTGCTTTCTTTGGTTTATTTTGTTGTTCTTTATGTTTTGACATCTTCCAAACTTCAGAATCTTCTAATTTAGTAATTTAAACCGTATACTTCCATCTAAGTATTGTTGCAGCCTTTAAATTTTATTATATAATATTAGAGATATTTAACATAGAATATTTTATAACTATCAATGTTATTTATTTTTTGGGCCATAAGTTATTTAGAATATTCATTAATTTCCAAACATAAAGGATTTTTAATTATGTCTCTTTGATTTTCCATTTAGTCTAATAATGCATACCAATTTTTTGAAAATTATTGAGTTAATAGATAGCATAGCATGTAGTTAGCAGTGTACATGTTTACACACCACTTGTGTATATTTTCCTCTATATGTCAATTAGATCAGGTTTATTATTGTGCTACTCAAATCCACTATCACCTTACTGAATTTTTTCACATCCTTCATTATTGAAAGAGGCGTGTTAAACATCCACCATGGGTTCAATGATTTTCTCAATTTCCCATATATTTCCGCTAGATTTTGCTTCCTGTTTTTTGAAACAAT